CAGTAGCTAAGGCTAGAAGCCGGGGGTGGGGTGGTGCTAGCTTGAGCCCTTGGCTACAGGAAATCTGTGTTGGGGAGGGGGGAGTGGCCAGGCCCTGGCAGGCTGTGCTGGGGAGGGGTTTGAACCCTAGCCAGGGTTTTTCTGGCCAGGTGTGAGTGGTGGAAGTGGCAGCCAGGGCTGGCTGACCCTGGCTGCAATCCCCCAAGGAAAGAAGGGATGGAGGGGGGAATAAACCCCCTTCCTGCCTGCTTTGCCTCAGGGCCATGCTGGCTAGTGTCTGGCCATGTCCCCACCCATGCAGAAGCAAGGGGTGGAGGCCCTGAAAGGGGCTGTTGCACTCTGACCTGGCAGACCCCAGCTTGGTGTGGCCAGCTTGAGTCCATGGCCTGGGACAGGAGATGCAGGGGGAAATTAAACCGATCTCCATTCACTTCATGCTGCTGCTGAGGCTGGCCACACCCCCACTGCTTGAGTGGCAAGCGGGGCAAAATACCTGACAGGGGCTGCATTGCTCCTGCCTGGCAGACCCCAGCTTGGGTCCATGCTGGTTAGACAGGGAGGAAGGAAGAATAAACCCCTTCCCTGCTCCCTTCACCTTAGGGGTCTGGCATCTGGTCATGCCCTGCCCCTACTCTGGCTAGAGAGCAGAGGGCCAGGGCCAGCCCTTGTCCACTGGAGCAGACAACACAACACAGCTCAGCCCAGGACTGCAGAGCATGCTGGGATACTGGAAGACTGTGATTTAACTTAAACCAGGAAGGGGTCTGGGACAGAAGTTCCATAAACTGGTTTGACCTCAATCAGTTTAGTCTGATACTACATTCAAAAAGATTTATCTCAAACTGGTTTTGGTCATTTTGAAACTGGTTTACGTGCACTGAAATTTTGTTCTGTTAAATGTTTAAACCAGTTTCTTATTACTTAAACCAGTTTATATGTAACTTCTGTCCCTAGCCCAGGTGTTTGCTTATGAGTACCTGCCTAATAAAAATGATCATTCTTTGTCAACAAAAGGCAGAGGTTGAGAGAGACCCTACAGGGGGTTACCTTCTTCTCAAAGGTGCAATGGACATCTAGTGCAACAGGTTGAATTTTCATATATGTGTATGCCAGCTATGTTAACTTTCCACCCTTGAGGGAAAAAATTGTGTCTCTCTTGGGATGTGGACTGCTTTATTTCTATTTGATTTTCATTCTTTTTAATATTTGCTATACTTTGAGAGTAAAAAGGGCATGTGTTATGTGAACTGCTATGTATACCTAACCAACTCCATAGTCTTTCTGATTTAAGAGACTGGTTTGGAGGAAACAAGGTGTCACTAATACCATCACAGAAATGTTATTACAAATAGAATTTTAAACTTAGCAGTTTTAAATATGTCTGTGTTCAAAGTAGTTGAAATAATCTCCCCTCAACCCCTCAAAAATAACACAGTAATTTATACAGGGAAAGAGAAAAAGGCACTTTCCCTTTCAGTGCTTTTTCCTAGTTTTTGATACAAATGGGGAGGTAGGTAAGTAATTTGACTGTAAACACAATTTGAGCAGTGACCGAAATTGATAGTGTACCTTCAAAGTTCCTCAGAAATCACTTTGCTTGCCTGATAAAAATGTAACGAGGAATAAAAGAGATTTGTTTTAATATGTCTGCTGAGTTGTTTGCATGAAGCACTGTATTACCCTAAAAGGTTTTGCAACCAAATTCTAACATTTGTAACGTTCATACTGTTTGTGCTCTCACATCCTTGATGTAACCCTTAGCTGATTTAATGGACTTAATGGATTTGTTTTAAAATGAAGTCATGAGTAAAGTCAGCCCATTTTATATATAAATATATAAATATTTGCTAATGCTGTGTTAAGTCAGCACTTTGCACATTCAAGAAGTATTTACACCCTAAAAAACCAACATTAAATTTTATTCAGTCATCATTAAAATGATGCAACTCAGATGACTTCTTTCCATTTAAGGTTCTGTGGCAGGAATATGGGTACTAATTGAGTTAATCTGAGTAAAATCCACAGTGAGTAACTGCATTCTACCTATCCAAATTATTTATATATTTTCCAAAGGGTACTGAATTATTCTTCAGCTCCCCTTCTATTAATTGTTAGTGTTTCTGGCAACTGCATTACGTTCCAGTGGTGGAGGAGACGCATCTACATCAGAGGGTTTTGAGATTGTCATGAATGAAGTCATATAAATTTAAGATGTTGGCAATAACATTTAATGTGTGATTAGGGGAGAAGCTGATATGTATTAAATGCTTGAAATTTAAGATCTGAAATATTTTAAATATGGATACTTTAATGTAAATATGCATTTGTGATTTCTTTGGATCACCTGATCTCTGAGTTATGGTGTATTTAACAAGCTGTACATATCTAATTTAGCTGCCAAGGAAATTAATGATCTCTGATATTTACAAGTAACTGAAAGGATAGTATTCTGGATTTTCATTTTCGTTCTTTGCACTTCATGCCCCAGATAAATTACATGCATAGCTGCATATGTAACTTGCTTCAACGACTGCTGAAGAGCTTCCAATTACATCAGAGTTCCCAAACAGAAGGCCTGATTTTGAAGCTCTGCTCTAATGGCATTAGGGTAAAAGACTTTATTGTTCATTTGTTGAAAAGATAATCATTGAATCATACTAATCTGGGCTGGACAGAGACCAAAAGAAATTACCCAACTCCTTTAACAGAGGCAGGAAGGTAGTTCGAAAAGTTTGGGAAATAAAATTGTGTGGGATTGTAATTACCTCTGCTGTTCCTTCTAGAATAGAAGGATAATGCATTAACCCTGCCTGGCAGTCTAAAGGCCATTTGTGGATGACAAGAGAGGCATGACACTTTAAAGTGGACTGAATGCTTTTGCACCACATTAATAGTATCAGTGTTTGCACGCCTCAGCAGTGTATTGTACATTAATTCCAGCCACTGTAGGAAATTCAGCGGCATAAAGCACCTTAAATGACTTGGGGTGTAGCAAACTAAGACTCCTTTGAAGAGTTTTAGTTTGCTGCCCCTACAGCTGTGGAGCGAAGCACTGGGCTCCATGCAGCTCCATGGCTCTGCAGAAAGCGCTACAGGCAGACTGGCAGCAGTCTGGGAAAGCAGGCTCTGCCCAAGAAAAGAAGCTAACCTGATCTTTTTCTTTCCCCTGGAACCTGACTGCCTGGCTGAGCTACGCAGCCGCCCACTTCTTCCCTCCACAGCTTCAGTGCCCCCCCCGGGACCACCCAAGCTAGCTGCCTGCAGGTGAGTGCCACCTGGAGTGCGGGGTGCTGCTGCCATGGAGGGAAGTACCAGCCCCTCCCTCCCTCCTGCCCTCCTCCAGCCCAGGAGCTGCTCTGCTGTCCAGCAGCTTGCCCTCCCCTCGCTGCCAGAGAGGCAGGTAAATCAGTGGGGTGTGTACACAACACGGGGCTTTAATCAGCCCTAAATTGAAGTGGTATTTTTTAAAATCCACCACTTCAATTTCAGGCCCCCGTTTCATCTACACACGCCCTAATAAAAGGTTATCCATCTGTTGGGCAGAGATGGGATCTTCTGGTACTATGCCTGAGCCAAAAGCATTGATTCAGTGAATTTTCCAGCAGAAATGCTAGTTATGAAGGTGAATGGGAGAGTCTGCTATTTGGTGCTCCACAGTCTAAACTTCAATTTATTTATTTATTTATTTATTTATTTATTTAGGAACAACCGGCACCATACCTACAGGTTAGGGAACTTCCCTCTTGTCAGCACGGAGGCGGAAAAGGATCTTGGAGTCATCATTGACTCCAAGATGAACATGGGTCGGCAGTGTGGGGATGCAGTCAGGAAGGCCAACTGTACCTTGTCATGCATCCACAGATGCATCTCGAGCAGGTCCAAAGAGGTGATCCTCCCCCTCTATGCGGCACTGGTCAGGCCGCAG